GAGAGAGAGAGAGAGAGAGAGAGAGAGAGAGAGACAGACAGACAGACAGACAGACAGACAGACACAGGAGAGGGAGAGACACAGATAGACAGAAAATAGAGAAGGAAAGAGAGGCAGACAGGAGAGAGAGAGACAGAGAGAGAAAGACAGACAGAGATGGAGAGAGGGAGACAGAGAGAGGGAGATGGAGAGACAGAGAGAAAGAGAAAGAAGAGAGAGAGACAGAGAGACAGAGAGACGGAGAGACAGAGAGAGGGAGACCGAGAGGAAGAGAGAGAGAGAGGGACTGTGTAGGAGCTGACTTCGAAGCCGGAACCTAACTTGACAGTTCAGTGGGGTGTGAGCAGGGTTCTTTCCTTCAAGTTCATTGTGTCGTCTACTGCATCGTGAAACACAGCAGCAGATACTTAAAAACCTGGGCTCCGTTCATCTGCTGCAAGTACCTGTAGAACAAAGCCCAGAGTAGTTTTGTTTTGTTTAATAGGAAGCTCACTGCAACAGGCCTGCCCCTCCTGCCTCCACCTCCCCACAACACCTGGCAAGAACTACTTTATAAATCTTGCATGGGCAAGCCAGTAAGAGAACTTGGGCTACGTACTGATCCCCACAGTTTCTTAAAACACTCTCTCTCTCTCTCTCTCTCTCTCTCTCTCTCTCTCTCTCTCTTTCTCCTCTCTCTCTCTCTCTCTCTCTAAATGCATTCTAAGGTTGCAACAAAATAACCTGAAACACAGAAGGCCGTGTGCGGCTGGAGCAAGCCCCACGGATCCGAGGACCCCGGAGGCACGGCCCGCTCCCAGGGAGCTGCGGCCAGCTGCGGAGCCTGCTGTCTGCGCAGCAGCCACGGGCCGTGGGCAGGTCCAGTGGCAGCACAGGAAGGGCTGCGAGAGCAGACCGCTTGGGCTTCCACAGGGCCGCACCAGGGTGCGCGAGCTGACGAAGAGGAGCGAACCCTCTCTGAGGGATTCCAGCTTCCATGTAGGCCCCAAGGGTCCGGGCAAAAAAGGTGCCACGGAACCAAAGCAGTGAGCAGAAAGCACCGTGGCAGTCGGTGCCTCGTGGACTCCATCTCAGAAAGAGTCTGATTGTCAAGTTATCAGGTGTAGACTGTAAATTAGCACACGCCCTATGTCGCATTTTTAAATTAATTTTCTTTTATTAGTACATGCTTGTAAGATATAGCATATGTTCACGCTCCTTGTGTGGAATCAGTCTCCTATAAACAGCACATCTTAATCCCTTTTTTCATCTTTCTCTCCCCTCTTCCCATTGACAGTGACCTACCGGGGGGATTAAATCTTGAGGAAAGCCAGGGCTCATGGCCCTCGCCCGCAGGCCCAGGACTCTGGAGGCTGAAGCCAAGGACCCTTGTAAATTCGAGGCCAGAGAGGGCCACAGAGTGAGTTCGTGGCCAGCCTGGATCAGTGAGACCCTGACTCGAAAGTTAAAAGAATTTCAGGAGTAACTCACCAGGCTGAGGATAGAAGTATTTTGAAAGCTTGAAGCTCTAAGTAGGAGTTTTATTTTAAAATTTAATGGATGTGGTAAATAATGACTTAGATGTCACCGATAAAAGAAATGAAATGTAATTAAGTAAAATAATTGAATAGAATAAATCAGAAACACAAGCATTAATATTGCACGGCTTCTTATGAGACAGAAAAATTATAAATAAAGAGAAAAATACAAGACAGATAATAGGGCCGGCGAAATAGCTCAGCAGTCTAAATCACCTGCTCAGGCAAGCTCAGGTAAGCGCTCAGGGACCGTAGTTCCAGCCCTGGCACCGCAGGCCGCGTCACCCTGCCCCCAGGGTGGGCTGACACGGCCACAAACATGAGCACAAAAAGACAGATAATAACGAGACTGAGCTGTTTAAATGGGAGGGACCCCAGAGGAAGGGGCAGGAGAGAGAGAAGATAAAGGGGGGAGAGGGTAGAGGGGGTCCTGTGCCCTAGCCCCACACAGGGGAGGGAAGCACTAGGAGCTGCAAGTGCAGGCTGATGTAAATGTTTTCAAACATTAAGATAGACCTGAAAAAATCATCCAGAAGGCAACGCTGAGAAAGATGAAGAAATAGAAATTCTACAAGTGAGCTGAATGAACATGGGGTTCCAAGGAAGTGCGAAGGTCCGACACTCAACCCGCAGAGCAGAGCTCACATTTTAGGACCCGCTTGACCCTCTCACTCCGACATGACTAAGCGTTTCAAATTGTTAAAGAAAATTAAGGTCATCAGAGTTTCCAATCTACTATATATCCTTCAAATCTACCACATATAAGTGCATATTGTTTCAAAACTCAGAGAACAAAACCAGCAATTTCAAACAAGTAAAATTAAAAACTGAAAGAATTTATCATGCACCACAGTCACTGCTACTTAGTACATACTTCAGAATGAAAGAAAATCAATCCCAAAAAGAAATCCAAGCAAAAATGACAAGTCAGACAGTGGCACACATGAGGGTAGGTACAGTAAATAATTACATCTGACAGTTGTGATGAAAAAGGCCCACAAATTTAAAATGCTGTGGAAAGTAGCACGCAGTAAGTCACAGCCCCGAGCTGAGCGTGCGATGGAGGCGGGTGATGGTTAATGCAGGTTTAGGGTTGGTAGTTGTGCTTT